TTGAGCATCATGAACACAACCTGATCTATTGGCTTTTAGTCTTTGCATGTTTTTTCTCTTAATGAGAGACAGAAGCTCTTTATCAATCCAAGGATGATCATGGATATTTCTGGTCTTAGATTTAGGCATGTGTTGGTTAACAACGGTTAGAAAAACAGCACACCAATTTGAGAGAGAAGCATCCACATCATTAGGTACAAAACACTGGTCCCAAGGTGTGTTCTGGAGTGAGTTGTTTAGACTAGACCAATCTGCTCTTTTAAAGTTGTAGACGGAGCGTTTAATATCCGGTTTCTTAGGGACCCTTAGATCTAGATCAAAACCAATTAATTTGTGATCGGTAGAGATAATGTCGTCGTAACCATGTAGATTATGTATTTTGTCAGGAATGTTTGTTAAGATCAAGTCAAGAATGTTGTTGTTTCTCGTTGGAAAGTTAACCAACTGCCACAAGTAATTGTCTTTGACAAATTTAGTAAAGTAGTTGTGCAATGATTCGAAAGCCGATGCAATGCCAGTAGACCAATCAATATCAGGCAGATTAAAATCCCCACAGATGATTATTTGATTGAAATTGAATTGAGAGGCGTGGTGTAGTGACTTTTTAAGTTCTTTCAGATGCTCAAGGTTGGAATTGGGCGGCCTGTAAAACACAACAGCCACGATTTTACGCCTGGCTTCAGGTCGATAGCACAATTTCCGCATCACCTTCTAAGTCTTTACGATGAAGAGTTTGTATAGAGTTCTTTACTGCTAGCATAACTCCACCTCCAGTTTTATCCTTTCGGTCGCGTCGATGGATGGAAAAGTCTAAACCAGGCAAGATCTCACAGTCCAATATATGAGGTTTTAACCAAGTTTCAGTGACAGCGATTAGGTCCAGGTCTGTGGCGAGAGATTGAAATTCTGCTGATTTGTTTACTAAGCTTCGCGCATTCATATATAGACACTTGATTTCCGGACAGAAAGAGTGTGGAGTTTGTTTTCGGGTAGAGGTACTTGCGCTGTGGGATACAGGACCTGGATGTGGATGTATGTCTCCACTATGTATAGCAGATACCATTATTGGGTTGAAAGAAGCAGAGCAGTTAAGATAGTAGTTTAGTCTCCTTTTCATAAAACCTTTCCGATGATAGAACACATTTGAGGGAGATGAGTTAATTCCAGAGTGCCAAGAGGGGCAAACTTTAAAATCAATCTGTACTTTTGATAAAGAAGGTGAGGTTTCAGTACCATTGTTATATTTAGCACTTTGTAAGAAGATAAGTAGAAGAAACAGTAGCTGGTGAAGTAGGCAAACAAACACCATGATTTACAAATGTCAGGAAAATCCCGCAGCCGATGAGGAATATGCGAGATATCAGGGAGCAATGTCTTGAATTTCAAAGGTCAAATGAAAAGTTCAAACGAGGACAAATTATTCTGTAGTATGCTAACAATAATTTCCAAGGCATTCCAAGAGATATTAAAAAAAATAGGAGGTAAACCACGAACAGCGGATGATATCAAAGCAGACAGTCGTAAGTTACCATTAGTAGATAGACTGTTTGATATACAATAAAGTACTTTATACAAGCGGGAAAATTTAAAGTACTGTTACTAAGTGACAAATAACAAAAACTGTGAAAGCCAACCGTCAAAATATCTAGAACGATGAATAATTCAGGTTACAACACGAAAACGCTGGTTGAAGTTGAAATGAGCGTTGCACCAATAAAATAAAAGATTTCTTTATGTTTCCGTGATCATCACAGCAGTGATATCAAACATAAAATCAAACTAATCAAGAGTTCACGCTGTCTGTAATCTTACGACTCAAACGAGGACGATAAAACAATCCACAATAAATGTATCAAACGATGAGTTTCCAGCACAAAGAATATATCCACAGAACAACAGAGTGTTTAGAAATAATTTTATTTCAAATATATATAAATTCACCTTAATTTTAAAGTTGGAAAAATCGAAATATTTGGAGATCAGCAGTATCCGGCCTGCTGCCTGTGTTGTGTAAAGCTGCAACACTTATATTGCATATAATATAACATGCAATAAGACCGCTTTAATTCCTGAAATTCAATTTGCATCAATGTTATGATTCAAAGGGTTTGAAATATTATTTTAAATTAAAATATCTTCCTCAAAGCCAGCAAATTCAAATTTTCTTTGGGTTCTCAACTGTTAGGAAGGGAACTATACCCTTTCCACTTAACAAGATACTCATTCTGAAATTTTAGAGTGTTAAAAACATTTTAAGTCAAACACTATTAAACTAGTTCTTTAATATAGTCTAGAATCTCTAGATCAAATATTTTGTTCAATTAAATTCCGATAAACAAAGACAAAACACATAAGTAAGATACCTACTTTATGCTTGTGGGTTCTTCTTGAGATAATCCTCTCAACCTCAAAGTATTTACCACTATTTTGGTTTTTTCTTTTGCTTTCATCCGTATAAAAATCTGCCGTATTCAAATTTTCCAATTGATTTGCCAATAAGCTTATGAATTATTAATGAGTGTTTGAACTATGATTAAAAAAAACAATAATGCATGAGAAAAATACAAAAGAAACAAATGTTTAATGAATGTTTGTAAATCAGATAAAGATTTGTCCTGATTTACATAAACTTAAGTTTTGATTTTCTCAGCTTAGACAATGTTTTTTTTTAATTACTTCACCAATGAACTCATAAGATGGGTATATTAGATAAAGATTGACTGCTCATGTTTTAACTAGTACTTAAAGTAGGCTTACCAATAATCTTCAAATCATTAACTGGCATGAAGAATTACCTGAGAGCAATGATGGTAATGTTATATTTGGATCTTTTTATTCTACATTGTCTTATGTTATTGATAACACGTCCCAATGAAAAAAAACCAAGCAGGAGTCGAAAGGAAGCATATGTCTAAGCCTTGGATTACTAATGTTATATGTTTGTCCCCTTAATATTAAAAATATATATAAAAGATGCATTAAAACAAGATTATCCTACGAATAATAAATTTAAAGTATATTGTAATAAACTGAAACGTTTGATACAAATAAGCAAAAAACAATATTATAATGAGTGTTTTAATACAAATAATATGACAATTAAGTATTTGGAAAGGATTATTTAATAGCTTAAATTGTTACGAGTTGTTGCAGCCCTGAAAATAATTTTCCCATCTGTTGAAACATATCTATAGAAAAGGGGGGTAATGGGGGGGGTACCAATCCTGAAGCACGAGAAATAATATGCACCGATCTTGAAACATGAAAAATAAAAGAAGAAAGTCCTGAAGCACGTAAAATAACAAATTTATTGAATCTGAAGGTCTAGAGGTCTTAAAAGTGAATATAAACAGTCCGTACTGGGCGGTGTGTTCACCTATTTGTTTACAATTGCGTCGATGTTCGTGATTTATAAAATTTGAAACCTGCATTCCCCAATCAAAACATAGCTAAAATCCAGAAACAAAATTAATGGAATATATTGTCCCGAACGAGAAATAACCGTCTTAATTAAATACTGCTGAAAACTCGCCCCATGTGAGGTAATCCAGGAGGTAATCCAGGAGGTATTTGGATTCTGGATTCCACTGCTTGGATTCCGGATCCTACTCCTTGGATTCCGGATTCCAAAACTGTAGTGGATTCCGGATTCCAATTTATTATTTTGTGTATTGCAAAGCCAATAAATACACTTGTGCATCCCAGTGCATCTATTACGTACTGTTTAATAAACGAGCAGGAGTGTTTTATTAGGTTTAAAGATACGAGCGCGCAGCGCGAGTGGCTTTAGACCTAATAAAACACGACCTGCGAGTTTATTAAATGGCTTCAAACACGACTATACAAATTCAATAGATATACCGCCTTATTAGTATTCTTTATATAAAAAATACTAATGAGGACACAACAACAATAGATACTGCCTTATTAGTATTCCGGCTTTATATAAAGAATACTAATTAGGAGTGTTTTATCAGGTTTAAAGCCACTGCACGTGACATGTTATAATTGACATGATTTGCCAATAAGCTTATGAATTATTAATGAGTATATATTTGAATGCATATATTATCAAACAAGTTTTGATAATAAAGTATAAATAGCTTCAAATAAGTACATGAAAATTATATATTGATACACTGTAGTGCAACCAACACTGTTTATGTTTCGCGGCAAGGCCCTCTTTGAAACCTTTCTAAAAATTGCGAAAGAAAAACAATTTTTAACTTCTAGAAATCTCGAGCTAGGCTCTTATTTCACCTATTGTTCTGGTAAAATCAGCACATAACAAAATTACAATGAATACATTTCATCTACAATAAAATTACGAGTACTGAGTTGATGATTGTTTCGATTCGCTATATATAAACGAAGAAATTAAATATATGGCGAGCAGCTTAGCCTAACAATAAATATGCCAAATTTACTGTTTAATCTATATGCCCCCCCCCCCCTATATGTAGACTACCAAACTTTATTATGATCCAGAAAATGTCAGTGTCACAGCTTTGCTGCTCAGTTGTTATTCTTCACCACTGATACTGCATTTGTAACAGAAATCTACTCAAAACTGTGTAATGGAACATCCTCTAAGTGGTGTTGTAACAATCCTGTGTTTGTATTAACAGGCAATTTGCGATGAAAAGTGTTCAAAACCGAAAATCTTTTTGGCGTACATCTCAAAATTTCTTTGTTTTAGGCAATGGAAAAAATTTCCCGGTTTATCATCAGCACCCGCATCCATTTTTCGAGCCGCATGAATTTTTAAAAATTTTTATTTTTAAAAAATCACTAATTCCGGCGGACCATGCGAGGAACCCACGCGAGATTTTTACGATGGTCCGCCGCCACAGTTGAAAACGCGAGTTCATATTGACAACGATGACAATATTGCTACCCTGGTTCCAGAGATTTATTTTTATTATTTGCATTGGGAAGGGGGGAGGAAAAATAAACCTCTGGTTGAAAGCGGCAATTGATTCATTGAGCCGCACCAATCAGTTTGAATTGGGGTCAGATCCTGACTCTGTCTCCTGATTGGATGATTGTATTAAAGCTCTCTGATTGGTTATATATGTTCTATTTGAACCAATCAGAGAGCTTTAATACAATCATCCAATCAGGAGACAGAGTTAGGATCTGACCCTAATTCAAACTGAAAATAATAAAAATAAACCTCTGGAACCAGGGTACAATATTGCACTTGGGCCTTGGCAACTTTTGGCAATTGTAATATTAATGAAAAGTTTAGCAGCATTGAAAATATTATACCATACAACTGTGCTGCCTGTTTGAGCATATTTTTTCCGTGCACCTACTAAATATGATTTGGTAAAATTTTTTTAAAAAATCCGCCCACCCGAACGTTTTTTTTCTGCTGCCACTGATGATAAACCTTCGGGGAGTTCTTGTCACAGGTATCACCTCTGACATAACAGAGTGGATCCTCTGTTTGGTTAAGCCATTGAATGCTCATATTGTTTCTCAAGAACCTTCCACTGTCAGCTTCGACGCAAAGGTCCTCCAGAAGTATAGCTAACCACCAGTACGGGGATGCGCAGTGTTTCAATTCTATTTCAGAACCATCAATAAGTAGAGCGGCGGTCTAGATACCCGAAGATGCGAGTTGAAATCCCGTTCAAGCCAACGAATTTTTCGTTGCTCGATTGCAGTGTCAGATTAATATGAAACTAGTACAGGGATGGTTCCCTCCTTAAACCGTGCCTGATGGCGACGATGTCATTCCTGCGGTATAGAACCCTAACCCGTACTGAATTGCCTCGATTAACGTTGGGCGCATTGACAGTCTGGCATTCTAACACGATGTCCTCCACTTCTTCGGAGGCGGTTACGGCGGCTGGTCTCATGCTCAAGGAATATGTAAGGGTTTCTGTGATCTCTTTCGTCTTTGAGCAAACGTTTTCTTGTCTTACACCTCTCCCGTATTCGCTAACAAATTCTCGCATTACTTCCTCGCGCCTTTTGTCATCGTCTTTTTCCCCACTTCCCTTACTCGCAACACTTTGCTTTGTTGCACGGGAGGCCATTTTGGGCGGGTCGCTCTTGATAATTTCTCAGGGTAAAATGAATTAGGTCCAGTCAAATACGAAAAACGCTTTTTATATATCCACATCATGTCGTCCTTCACACAGCGAGCTCTCTTGTTGGGATATCCTGCCACGGTTGGCATATCGTGGTCGGCCCTCATGGCTTTGAAAAAACGAAAGCTGTCAAGAAGATTATCACTAGGACAATGTTTCCGCATTTGGGAAACATGAAATGTTTAACAGGAAACATTTCTGCTTCTCGGAAAACAATTTGTGTTTCTGCAACGATGTTTCCACGGGTGGACAAACACAGAAACACTTGTGGAAACATGGTGAATGACAATGTTTCCGCAGCAATGTTTCCTAGTTTGTCCAAGGCTTACGACGCGGACGTGACATAAAAACCGTTGCTAATGTATGGAATCCAGTTTTATTTTTCTTGTTTCACTTACTTGTCTCTGACTTTGTTTACCAACTGGAGGCCATAAACGTTAACAGCGCCAAGATGCAAAGCACTATAGCATAACGGTATATAAGAATGTAGAACACCTGCTAGTAATCGGAAGGCGGGCGGGCGCAAACAGTTTCTCAAATTTCATGTATTTGGACTATTTGCTCATGAAACTTGAAAGAGCCTGAACATATTTCCTGGTGTTAAATAAAAGAGGAGATGGTTAACAAAAGTTTACAACAAATAGGGTTTTTTTCTAAATTAATAAAACAATGGATTCCAGAACGACCTGGGCTCTGGATTCCGGGATTTCTCAGTTATTTGGATTCCGGATTCCACTGTCTGGATTCCAGATTCCAAGACTCTGGATTCCAGATTCCTAAACCAACAAAAGTCGGATTCCGGATTACCTCACAAGGGGCGAGAAAACGGAGAACAGATATTGAATACACCGCAAGCACGATACACAGCATCCATGTCGGGATCGAAAAACGTTTAATAAAAGGATGACTGAACGAAGAACGAATAATTAAATTACCCCAATACGGAGCACGAAAATAACCCATTAGCCCCCTCATAGAAGCTCTACAGTTAGCTGGGATTGACAATCTAGCCAGTATGAGAATCATCATATGTAATCATATACACAATTAAAGTGAAAAGAAAAAATCATCTCCTACAAGTGTTATTACCCAAAAGCGCAGAGAAAAACTGTAATTGTGAGCTCAGAGATAGCACAAAAGACGTTTTCCTGTATCAAGACTTTCACTTTTGTAGAACAAGACAGAAACCTTTTTTTACCTTCGGGCCTGCAGTAACTGGCGATTACGCTGTTGCAGATTCCCTGCCATTATGTATAATGTACAAGGCAAATTAAATATTATTACATTTTAAATATGATGTAAAGTCCGTAATGTAAACAAACGCTTTGTTTACATTTTGAACTCAGTGCTACAGTTGTAAGATATGATTATATATATATATATTATACTGAATTTTTAACACTCTTCCGGTTCACTATGCTTGTAAATGAATCCAGATTAGAGATTCAATTCAAGAAAGTTCAAAATATACGAAATATTAACAACATTCCAAAGGTTGCTCCCCCACTGATGGAATGTGTTGATGCACAGAATATAATTATGCGCAGAACAGACTTTACAGCGGGGGTTGACAAAATGTGGACCCCCCTTTCTGGACCCCTAATCTGGACCCCAGTGTGGACCCCATTCTGGACCCCAATCTGGACCCCAATCTGGACCCTATTCTTGACCTTTTAAAATCCTACAGACCAGATTGTAGGACACAACTATTTGGATTTCAATATAACGATGATCGATTAAATTCATTTAGCTTTTTTCGACTTTCTGAATCCTCAATCCTGATCTTTTCAATCATAATCTTGTACATTAGGGCATTGCTGGGCAACATAGTTATTCCAATTAGAAATTTCTTACTGCAATAGTTTTCTTGTTTCATGTTCTTTTGAATAGGGACAAGCACTTTCAATAAACTGCATGTTGTTTTTGTGACCTTGTAAAATACTGTGTAATGACATTGTCAATGTAGTGTCGGGTTTCTATAAATCGGCAAATTTACCCCGCTGCATTTACAGCAAAAAGTCAACAAATATTGGCTTGTGGCCAAATTATGGGTCACTGCCGAAGCCATCTCAACAAATGCGGGTTGGGGACAAACTGCTTACAGCTGCCTATGTAATGTTTTCGTAATTTACATGTTTTCTTTTGGTTTTTAAAAGGTCCAGAAAGGGATCCAGAATGGGGTCCAGAAGGGGGGGTCCACGTTTTGTCAATCCCTCTTTACAGCATCTTTAATAGACCTCCTTTAAAGCCAATTTTCAATATGTTCATTTTAAACATAAATTAGATTTTATATAGATTATTTGGATTAAATTGTACTAGTTTTTTACATTTAATATCATATAGTTATGCTATAATATTGTAAATAATAAACTCTTAATTCAGTCTTTGTAACTGCAAATGAGTTTTATTAATAAACCATAATTATTATTACAATGGTTGTGGAATAACTGGCACTGCAGCAATTGGTGATGCATTTAACAACTTCTTTGTTGGAATTGGTGGGAAATTAGCCAATTTGGTTACGACTGTAGAAATATCACCTCTATCATTTATACCAACTAAGCCAATTACACAAAGAGAAATAGATGATGAAATATAGCTGCTTTAAATCCTGGTGGTGGGTCCATACAGCATTCCAATCCCTATCTTAAAAAGATGGAGACATAATATACTGTACAATATACCTTTACTATTCTTTTCAAACCTTAACCCACAGGCAATGTATCAAATTCTTAGGTGTGTATATTGATGAGAATTTGTCGTGGAAAATTCACATAAATAATATTTGTAAAAAGATAGCAAAATCTGTTGGAATTAGGTCTCGCCATCTTTTATCACCTACAACAAAGTTATGCTTATATTATACTCTTATATATACTTATCTAACCTATTGTAATATTGTATGGTCCTCTACTTATGTAACTAATCTAAACAGAATTTATCTTCTCCAAAAACGGGTTGTAAGAGCTCTGACGAACTCTGACTACCGTGCCCACTCCTCTCCGTTATTCTATCAGTTAAAAATATTAGATATATTTAAATTGAATTCCTTTTACATAGGTAAATTTATGTATAAATACCACTATCACTTGTTACCTGAATGTTTCGATAACTTATTTATCACAAACAATCAAGTACATAGCTATAACACTAGATCAGCTACATATTACAGACCTCACGCGTGTCGGACAAACATACAGCAATTCACTATTCTTTCTGTTGGTCCGAATACATGGAATTCTTTTCCACCATATATTACGGCTAAAACCACCATTTCCTCTTTCAAGAATCAATTATGCATTTTCCTACTTGAAAATTATAATATCGCATAGACGTCGAAATCGACATGTTTTAGTTAACTTGTATATTATGCAGTAATGTATGTGTGTTTTGAACTTGTACAAAGATATGATCTTATTCTGAGTTATCACAGTGAACTAGGGGGCCTCATGACGACTGTCACTAGGCCTCCTCTTCACTCAATTTATTTATTACAAAATTATTTTAACAAATGAGATGGCCTCTTAATGTAAGCCTTTTAGCTTCTTGAGGTCTTCTCGCCACTGCTCAACTTTGATACTCAAACTACAATTAATGTAAATATCTATATTCTTGTTGTGTTGTGGCAAATAAATGATGATGATGATGATGAAACCTCTTTTTCACTAATAAAAGTGTAGTCATTCTTGAATCTCTTAAGTGAACTACAAATTGTGTTACTGTTCTCATGTGTAAATTTTGTTTCATTTGGATGTCCTATTCTGGATTTATTGTACTTTTACTATTTTGACCGTTTGAACTTTAAATTCAAATTTTGTCTGGCGTCGCCTTCCATTGGTCTTGGGTGTTTAAAGTGAACTTTATATTTTGGATTTGTGTTTGACCTGTTAATTATGACATTTTCGTACATTTTCTATTTTATTGGCTGAATATTTTGTGATTTATTCAAAGTTTCATGGTTGCTGTGTTACTGCAGCGTGATTATTCATAACTTGGTATTAACTTCAGGGATTTCCCCTCATTTACATCAACTGCGTGAATATTAACTAATCTGG